TGCTGTCAAAGCCGACCGGGAAGCCCATCGCCGCCATCATCGCCATCTCCTCCTCCTGCGCTCTCGCGGCAGCCTCCTCATCGGCACCCCCGCCGCCGGCGGAGCTGCCGCCGCCGTTGGCCATGGGAGCATCGCCGTTGGACACGCCGTTGGTCTGCGGCGGCCCCGTCGGCGGCGGACCGACGGGCGGCGGACCGGCCGGCGGCGGCCCTGCCGGAGGCGGCCCGGCAGGCGGTGGCCCGGCAGGCGGCGGCCCGGCAGGCGGCGGCCCTGCCGGTGGCGGGCCGGCGGTTGTGTCGCCGTCGCGGCGCCGGCGCCTGTCCGTCTCCTCTTCGTCCGAATAGTCGCGGCGCCGGCGCCGGTCGCGATCCTCGTCGTCTGAGTGGTCGCTGCGGCGCCGCCGCTCGCGCTCGCGTGACCGGTCGCGCCGGTCGCGGTCGCGCCGCCTGTCGCGGTCGCGGTCCCGGCTACGGTCCCGGCTGCGGTCGCGGTCGCGCCTCCTATCGCGGTCCAGGTCACGGTACCGCTCCTCCGAGCCCGACATCTTCTCTGCTCGTCGCTCTCTCGACGTCGCTCAAGGCCCCCGGCGTCTTCGAGCTCTCGATGCTGGGAATGTGTGTTTTCTTCTCAATAACAAGGCTCGTGCGTGCCCCACAATTTGCCCTCACTGAATCCTCACTGGCGGCCTTTCGAGTTCTTGCGCGTTCGTCCTCTTCATCCCGATCTGTGTCCGCACCGCGTGTCGGTCGCCGGCGCGTTGCCGAGCAAGAAGCAGCGACCCCGCCGCATTGTCAACCTCCCGCGTGTGCCCGTTGCCGTGCGCAGAAGTAGCCACGCGGCGCGTGGGGGCGCCCGGCTGGTCCCATTCTCTCACATGCCAAGTGCTCACGCGATTGCCGCGCTGTCAATGGCCAAGCTGTTCGTGAGCAAGCTGAGGCCTGGCTTGCGCAGGTCGTGGTCGCGATTGCGGCGTCCCTCTGAGATTAAGATCAAGGTTATTTACCTCGTGCGGCACGCAGAGGCGATGCACAACGTCGAAGAGAAGCGCGTGGTCGGCTTGTCACTCGAGGCTGGCCTCTCAAAATCAGAAGCGGATCTGGCGCGGAAGACGGCGCTGGAGACCAACGATGCGCTCAAGGACGCGCCCCTATCTACCGGCGGGCATCAGCAGATCCAGTCAGCGCTCGAGGGGTACCAGAGGCTCCTCGATAGGACGCCATACTGCGCGCCGGAAATTGTGCTCGTCTCTCCGCTCCGGCGCACCCTGCAGACTGCGACACGCCTGTTTGGTAGCGCCGTGCGCATCGTCGCAGTGGAGCTCCTCCGGGAGAAGCGCACGGGGATGGCCTGCGACGAGCGGAGCTCGGTCGCAGAGCTCGCGGCAGAGTTCCCTCAAGTCGAGTTTCAGGAGATTGAGGCGTGGATCAGCACCGGAGAGGTTGTCCCGGAGGGTGAGGATAACGCCGCGGTGCGCAAGCGGGCAGCGCGGTTCCTGGACGACGACCTGCCGCGGCGCGAGGCGAGCACGCTGGCGGTCGTGTCGCACAAGGGCTACCTGCGAGAACTGCGCGCGATGCTCAAGGAGCGCGCCGACAACAAGCACAGCAACTTGCAGCTCGATTTCGATCTCAACCTCGAGGTGACCGGCACGGTGTTTGGGAATGCCGAGGCGCGCCCGTCGGTGTGGTGGTGCGCCACACGACCCAACCGTCAAGGCCCCCCTCGTTGCGCCTCGGAACGCAGGTGCGCATCGCCGAGTTCTCGTGGCAGGCCAACGAGCTATGCGCCATCGTGAGCCGCTCGCTCGAGCACGCAATCAAGCGGGCGATGCGCCAGTCCTCCATGCTGCTGCGTGAGGAGAGCGAGCCGGGCATGCGCCCTCTGCAGCTGTCAAAGAGCAACATGGGGTGGAGCGACATGGAGTGGGGAAAGGGAGAGCTAGACTCGTGAGGATGGCGGCGCCGTCGGTTAGGCGGTCTAAAGCTAAATGAAAAATTGGACCACTCGTGAGCTTGAGGTCATAGCCTCCCATCCAGGGCCGGGGAGCACTGACCCTGGTTTCCAGTGATTAATTTTTGGTGTACCTGTGTTTAGTGCCAGTGCGCGCCAGTCCCGTGCCCAGTGCTGTCCGCCGACACTGTCCCACGCCGGGTCCGGGAACGTCATTGTACATTGAATTCTCTCTGTTTTGGTGTTCCTGTGTTATAGAGAGAGAGAGAGAGA